CTCTCTCTCTCTCTCTCTCTCTCTCTCTCTCTCTCTCATATTACTGATTAGTGGTTTGGATGGCATCTAAAAGCGAGTTTTATGAACTTGATCTCGCAATCATAACCCCTTGTTAGATCCTATGTAATTTGGTCCAATATGTGTTAATGTTTTTGGTCTTCCATGCCTTAAGGTGTTTAAGGGTGTTTTGATGGGTTGAGTGGTTTCTTTTGTAGGTGGGTGGGTTGGGGGAGTTGGCCTACTACTAGGGGTGGTGGTGGGTTGAAGAGGAGGGGGTGGGTGTTGGGGGTCTAACTGGTGGAAATGTGTTGAGGAGTTCTGTGCGGATGGAGGTGGGTTAGGACAGTAATATGATAAGTAATAAAACAACGGGCGCAGAGTGGTAGGTTTTGTGGTTTATTGAGTTGAGTGTGAATGAATTGAAGATACACTGGTTCTGAAGCTAATCACTTTGAACAAGAACATAGAAACCAAGAAGGAGAGAGGAGGAAGATGAATTTTATTCAATGATTCAATTACAAGTACAGTTGATGTACATATATAGTGCATGAGCTAGTGCATCATCTCCACTTAGCTGGTTGTGACAAATTCCATAACAGATTACACTAACGGTTTAATTACATCACATGGTGTTTACAGCTCTGCAACATAACTAACTTAGCTAACTACCTGTAACCGTCTACCCTAACTACCTAAGTGTGGAGATTGCCTTGACTGAGAACTTGTGTGATTAGCAGCTTCAGGCTCTGCTTCAATAGCTGTGTTAATATTTCCCATCAAATGAATGGGACAGAGGCCTACCAGGAGTTTGTCTCGAAGCAACATGAACCTATGAGAAGACAGACCCTTGGTAGGCACATCAGTTATTGGATCTTCAGTGTTAACATAGCAAATAACAATATCCTTTTTGATGACTTTCTCTCTGGCAAAATGATAGTCAATTTCTATATGTTTGGTTCTTGAATGGAAGAGAGGATTTGCAACCAGAGCCAATGTAGAGAGATTATCACACCATATTCTAGGAATGTGAGGTAGGAATGTATGCATATAACATAGCAGCATTCTAAACCAAGAAATCTCAGCTGTAGTAAAAGCTAAAGCTCTATATTCAGCCTCAGTAGATGACCTATGACCTAGTCACAGGAGACTGCTTCTTTGTCCCTCCAGTGAATAGCCTAGATAAAACACACACCTAGTTGTTGACCTTCCTATCAGTGGGAGTTTGCATTAGTGAATGCAGACAGATGAATGGAGTTGGGTTTGAAGGTGAGACCAAGTGGAAGTAGTCTCTTTGACAAATCTCAAACTCTGTAGGGGTATGGATGAACTGACAGACATAGTTGACAGCAGAACTGAGATCAAGTCTGGTAAAAATTAAGTATTACAGAGATCCAACTAAGCTTCTGTGAAGTGTAGGATTGGATAAGGGTGAATCATCAATGCTGCTAAGTTTGTGAGATGAAACACAAGGTGTGTTGCAAGGTTCGCAATTGCTCATATTGGCTCTATAAGATCATTTGCATACTTTTCTTGATTAATGAACAAGTTCTGGCCAGAGTAGTTGATTCCAAGGCCAAGAAGTAATATAAGGGTAGATTTTTCATGTCAAAACAAATGCTAAGGTTAGCAATAAGGGTGGTGATGTAGGAAGTGATATCAACAACATAAAGAAGAAAAAGAGTGAGGAGCCTGATGATCTGACAAAAAGGGAGGAGTCAACAGCGGAAGTAGAGAACTGATTAGTTAGAAGCTGAGATGTAAACTGTTCAAACCAGGCTCTAGGGTCCTGTTTCAACCCACAAATGGATTTATGAAGTTTATAGACATAATGGGGCTTGGAGGGATCTGTAAAACCTTTGGGTTGAGTCATGTACACTTCCTCCTTGAGATTGCCATGTAAAAAGACATTTTTAACATCCAACTCATGCAATTTCCAGCTAAAATGTAATGCTAAAAGAGTACGTCACACAACGAAGAACAAAAAATTATAAAAAATAAAA